GAGAAAGCCCCCTAACAGGCATATATAAATATCTCTACTTATTCATTACTTTGTCAAAGTGTAACGGTGACATCTTTTCAAAATGTTGATCGAGCAGGCCTATCATCTTAGATTGGCTTCTATTGGATAAGTGAACTAGACGGATCTACCATCCTTAATTTTAATTTAATTTGCATCATTTAATGATTGTCTCTCTGTTGAAGCAAAATTAATTTCAGGTGGAGAGGTACTATTATTAATAGTCTCCTTGATTAGAAATATTTCTTGTTCACTCTTATTGGTCAACGTTTACAGTACTTTACTAGAGAACCTCACCCTTAACTCTTCTAACTTCTTTAATATTATTTGCATTATGTATGTAGAGGTGGTAAGCACATTCCCAATTTTAAGCTTATGAATTGGGTTTTTCTCTGTATGTAATATGCAGTTTCAATCTTATGGGAATACTTCCAAAATCTGAGAACCTTTTCTCTCTCGTAGAGGAAAGGCCATTTCTAAAGCTCTATCTGACGTTCGCTTAATTCTGGACATATCTTGAAGACTGCCATATTGAATTATCCTCCCCAGGCTGGTTATATCCTCGGGGTATTAAGGTATTCTTTACTTATTTTCTAATATAAATAATTTTTACAAATATTTTTTTCATGATTAAAACAAAAGTTTGTTTAAAATATTCCGCGTATCCATTATCCAATTGAAGTGAATCTCTTCAATTGGATAATGTTTGTATAGGTAGTCACATGAGGCCAAGTACTATTAAGGATTAATTGCACGAGAGTTTTCAAAATTTTCCAAACTCAAGTGCAATTAATCCTTAATAGTACGAGGTCTCATGGGATTACTTGTTTATCAATAAAGAGCAAAATTTATACGAACGAAAATCACGCGCGCAATCGCTATGCAACGGATTAGCCAATCATTAACAGGTAATCATGCCCTCTCTTGATTACTAAAAATGCCCTCGATTAAGAAAAAAATGCCCTCTCTCTCAACCAATCAGCGCTCAGTAATTTTGCCCTTTATTGATAAAGAGCTGTAACAAATAAAATGCTTCGTAAGTTCACTCATTCCTATGGATGACTATTTGAGTTTGACTTAAATAGATGCATGCTCTCAGGAAAGATTTACATGGAGGAGGATATGTTGTTCGCGAAGATCGTTTCACACAAGTTTGATTTCTCTAAACTCCGTTTAATAAATGGGCAATGTTTCAATAAACATCTTCAGGTTCTCACTACTATGAGCATGTATAACCAGTTCTGCTGCATTTTCAAGATAAGTTGTGGGGTTTACATGAAACATAATCAACGATTAAATCACTTTGAGAATTTTCAGGAAATTATCCGCATTGGAAATACAGAAAGATTTTTGATCGCTAGTAAGAAAACTTTCCCATTGTTGAAGGCCAAGAATCATTTGTTCATGACTCATAGTTTTATCTTAATATAAAGCCAGTGACCAGCATGTGATGTTTAGTCTTGCACCAGTATTCTAGAACAACAAAAGTATTGGCGGGAAGTATTTTACGAGCCGAAAACCCTGACGATATGCGTCTATATTCCTGGAAAAAAGAAATGAAATGAATTGAAATTTTTGATTTTGAAAAATGATATTGCATTCCATTTATTATAAAACTGCAATTGAAATAGTTATTGGTTTAAAAAAAAGCAGCGTAAAATCCACAAACGTCAGGTTACGATATCATTTATTTGTGTCATCTTAACAAAAATTGTGAAGATTTCTAGAGATTAAGTGTATGATCAATATTCTATTAAGGTACCTCTAAAAATATGCATCCCACAGTGCTGAGAGTCGATGAGCTAAGCTTAAGGCTTATCGTCGCAAGATTAGATGATAGTTGACTATTAGTTGATGTAATGGGTGGAGTATTGGAAAAGTCATATGGAGAATGGGAGGCTTATTCCGTAATTTACGGGAAATGAAGGACGATAAACTATTACTATGGAGGCGTTCGTTTTCTTAACTTTTCCAGAATTAATTACTGTTTATAACATTGCGCGCGTGCTTGCCCAATATAAGTCCTACTGAGCCGCTATGAAAAAAATCTTTATTTACGCACGCCCGTGCATAAATAAGATGACGTGAGCATTTTTTTTTACCTGGCTTAAGAGTTTCCGTCCTGTGAAGCTGCAGTGCAGCTTTCCTTCTCTTTGAAATATGGAAGAGACCAGCGAAGAACTGCCCAATTTTTCTATGAGCATTGACCTTTTAAGTCCTGATCCAACAAGCATCAAACTCAAACCCGAAAAAAACTCGGAAGTTGCAGGTTTCGCAAATTGACACGAGTTCATTTGGCTTTGATTTTCTCCATTTTCTCCGTAAATTTTGAGCTTTTCATTCACAGTTATCGGTTCACTGGATCAAATGATCTCGCTCAAACCAAAGTATAAAATGTGGCGTGTTTTTTACCAGCCAATAGGGACGTTTGTTTACTTTCTTTTGTGCATTGTGAGAATTTTGCACTCTATCACAACAAAAGGCTTCTTCGCGCGGATCCTTGTTGTCGCTCTGTTATAAAAGAATTTGCTCATGCTTTTAGCTGTGCGTATATCGAGTTATGGATGCACTTGGGAAGTTTGGAGAGCACTCAAAAGGCTGGAGTCGCTCTCGGCTGCGCCTCGAGATACTCTTACGCATTTTGCGTGCTCTCCAAACTTCCCGCGTGCATCCATAACTCGATATACGCACGCCAGGCATGAACAAATTCTCAAATGACGCTTTTAAAAATTGGCAGAAAAATGAGTCCTCCAGTGAAACAACTATGAACCTGCCTAAATTGCCCAAAGATAGGCTGAAATAAAACAGATCAGGCTAGACCCTTCGAGATCACGACTGCGAAGGTCACAGTGAGAAGATAGCTTTTACGGCTAACGGTTAAAATGTTGGCCATTTTGCAGCGAACGGTTTTCAAATGTCTTTCCGAACCGGTTATTAAAATTATTTTTAAAGTTAAAATTATGTTTAAAAGTCTATATTTAATAGCCATTGTTCTGAAACGCATTCACTTAAGCTTTAGAGCATTCACTGTAGCTTTAGAGGAAAGCAATAAGGGTAATTCCTAATGGAGTTGCTGTTGGGTTGATCCGGTGCAATGTTCTTTTTTCTTGCTGATTTTCATTTGGTGGTAGAGTTTCAGGTAAAATAACACTCGCTCGTACTTTTTCGCGTGATCGTTAAGGCTAAGAAAATCGATCAGATTTCTCTTGAGTGCTGAATAGAGCGGCGTTCTTCACCGATTTCAATTATTGTCATTACCGCCTTGTATATTCCGATTGGCCTCTCCGTCCAAGCTTAGTATGAAGGTATTATGCCTTAAAGCTCAGCCATTCCCCACATTCTGCATGAAAAAACTAGAGATCATGAAACACACAGGTCACCTGTCTATAAACTTATCCCACGTACGAAAAGAAGAACCTTTCTGCCAAATAAATATGATTCCGTAGGACCTTAGCCAAATTAAATGTCTTTGTTTTCGTTATAGTGGTCAGGGCCGTAGCTAGCTTGAGGCAAGACGAGGCAATTGCCTCGTCGTGATTTTGGCCTTTTTTTTTTTTTTTTTTTTTTTTTTTCCCGAAGGAACGTTTAATTGAGAAATAATCCCCAGAAAAAAATCGGATTGGCTAAAAGAGCATTTCTGAGCCTCTAGATTTCAAAATTTTCAGGGGGGCGTGCCCCCAGAACCTCTAGCGGCTCGCGCCTACGGTGCTCGAAACTTGCCTCGTCTTGTTCTGAAGTCTGGCTACGGCCCTGGTAGGGTTATACATACCGTCTAACCGCATTAGCCGCAGGACAAGACCCTTTTCAGCGTAAAATTTAGACAGTTCCAAAAATGACACATTGTCTCATATATTTTGCAAAGATAAATGAAAACACCATCCCTCTGTTTAATAAAGTTAAACTTCTACCTAAACCCATTTTGTATAGTAAAAATTTATCTGAATTGATGCACGATGTTAACATTGCCTCAGATTCAATAAACATACGTAGTTTTCGGAAAAATCATAAACTCATTCTACAACGCACGTTTTTCTACTTCTAATAATATTTTTCTAAAAACCCTCAAACATTTTTGTACAAAAAAGTCCTTTCTTAAGAATCTGCGTCAGACTATGAAATGATGTTGCATGCTCTCTGAGGGAGCTACGTACTAAAAAAATCACTCAAATTTAAATTAAAAAAAAATATACTGCCTAGTATTTTCGAAAGAGAAAATTGCCTTTTCTACGCACACAAGATCATCGCAAAAGTGCGATTTTCGAGTCATCAATAACATCTATAAAATACTAGACGACCATGAGCTAAATATCGCGATTTCTGCCGTGCATCATTTCCAATTACTTGAGATCATCCTCTAAGTACCTCTCATAAATGAATGCAGAGGCACTGCACATGAACTATTTACCTTCGAGTTTAGGATTTATCATCTGTATTTTCATTCTTGATTTTCTAAGCGAGTGATCCTCGCTAACATTACGAGTGAGAATACTTCTAGATAACATAGTTTGGTGGTTCGTGACTAACATTAAAACACATCAATTGTATTTCAAATGATTATGATAAAGAAATTTATACGCGCGCTCTGATTGGCCATAAAACCATTTTACATGAGCGTATGTAAACACGGTTTTCACGCTGAATCTTCTCGCGGAGTTCTCCCTGCTATTTATTTAGCAGTAACTCAGTTTCTTAAAGTTTGTTTTGAGTACAGTAATAGAAGAAGAAGATTTTCCTAATTTTTCTTTGGAAAAAGACACGGCCGAAAAGCCAAATGAACAACAACAACAAGCACGTCGCTTTCCTTCGTTGTAAGAAGAGGCTCTTTCATTAGTTATTTTATAAAAGAAATGTAAAATGGTTTCCGTGTTTACATAGCCTGATGTAAACACGCGGAAGGTTGGGAGAACACTCGATAAGCTGGAAACCACTCCGCCTCGCGTCGTGGTTTCCTACGCTTATCGAGTGTTCTCCCAACCTCCCGCGTGTTTACATCAGGCTATGTAAACACGGAAACCATTTTACATTTCTTCAGTGGAACATACTTAAGCTCTTATGAACATGGATTTAAGGGTTTATTTATGAATCCTCCTATTACGAGAAGTGGATTTGCTTCAAATTCAGTCTGCACCACAGTAGCGCATAGCACAACGTGATAGCTGATGAAGTTTGTAGATGTAGTAAGATCCACAGTTTTTCACACCAATTACTGTTGGGTCCTTGCAGCGGTTGTTATAAGCACGAAAGCATACCGTCCTGTCAACTTCACCATCTTCCACTGAAGGATGAGAACCATTCAACCAGCCTGGGTTTACTGTACCACATCTGCGTAATGGCACAAGATTAGTTGGCATTTTTGTTCCTGCAGCTCTCACAAAACGATACCATCCCACATGGAGTTTGTCGTCACACAAACTAGCTGATCTTGTGTAACTGCTCTTTCTATTGGCATCACTTAAGTTCTTGTAATTATTGCAGTGTTCGGCTACAAAGTCAAAGAAATATAAATTATTAATTTGAATTATTGACGCTAAAATTGTTACTTAATTGCAAGAGTCTCATAAGGTTAAGGGTTTTAAAAGCTTCATAAGTTCCTCTGACATTAATATAACAGGGTGCGAGGCTTCTGAATCTTTGAAAAATTATCAGGAGTAAACCTCCACCCCTCCCTTTTCTGTAACACTGATTTTATATTCTTTGCATGTTCTATCACCTCGTTTTGGACCTTTCGCCATGTAATATCTGTCCTTGTTCTTGACAAAGTCCTCTGGTCTGGCCTCTTTAGTTCGGTTGTTTAACTCGCATATTGCAATGAACATAACGACGTTGTAGCTTTGACATCTGACATCAGCAAGACAAGCGTCTCTGCATTCCAGAGTACCTGGTGCAGTCTTGAACGTCTTGTAAGTGTGGCCCTTGAGCATCATTTGGTAAATCGAGTATAAGTCGCCGCCAGCTCCACAATTCTGACTGGCATTGTCACGGAACAGTTGAGAAATGAAATATAGCACGGTAAAAAATGAAGCTTGGCGACCAGCTATGAGAAGCATATCAGATTTATGACTCCTGTGAAGACAAGATGAACATTTGTAATGTTTGATTTAAGGACCTTTTTGGGAAAAAAAATCCCTTAAAGGTTATTGAAGAAAAACGAAATTTTGTCGCTTTAAAATCCGCCTTCCCTCCCTCTCCTTTTGTAGTTTTAATTTTTACTGATCAGTTTGCGGGAAAAATGAGAAACTGCTTGGAAACGTCAGTTACTTTGACGGCTTGTAAAAGATTTTAAGTATAGGAAATAAAACAATTTCGATTGTGATTTAGTGGAGGATAAAGTTTTCTATGACATCAAAAATTGCTCAAGCTCGTGAGGCGAGTGCAATTTGTAGTCTTGAAAATTTACATTTCTTGAAATCGGTAGTCTCACCTGTTTCGTCATCCATTCAAAACCTAATCACCTTTTAAAAATTCGGTGACGAGAAAATGCTACCTTTATAGGAAATTGGGCTTCACACATTACTAAAGATCGATAATAATTGTATATTATAACGTCCGGTTAGAACTTTAGTATCTGTAGTTTCCTTTACTTTAGTGCCTATTAAACTTTTTTCAGGAAAAAGAGAACTACAATTAATGGGGAACGGGTTTTCACTTAACTTTTTCAGACATCAGTTTTAATTTGTAAAATAGATTGTACAATAAACTGCGGCATTACACATACCTGGTTAAAACTACTCGTTGTTTCTAAAAGAAAGTCCCATTGGTTTTCTCTTGAGGTGTGAAGCACTTTTGTTCAGAGCAGGTTGCCAACGGCCAACTGAACCTAAAAGGTTGATTAGGGGGAATAATATTACACCACAGACGACCTCGTAGCAGATTATGAGCCATTGTCCTTCCACAAATTGGTACATCTTCGTTGTATCAGCGGGATTCTATTGGAAACCGTTATTATTCTTCTCAAACTAGACTTTGTTATGTTTTACGGCCAATTGGAACTGAAATGATGTTTAGGGAGGAATTATATTACGCCACGAACAAACTCTTGCAGATAATTAGCCACTATCCTTAATTCCTTACAGTGGTGCATCTTTGTTGGATCAGTGGGATGCTATGGTATTCAGTTAAGTTTTTCTCCCACTGGGTTCTGCTGTGTTTAATGGCCAACAGGAGCTGAATTGATGTCTTTATGAATCATTTAGTAACGTTGAGCTTCCGCAGTATTTTTAGAACAATTTGAACACAAACATCTCAGAGATTAATCTTTATTTTGCGATGTTCAGGTGGCCAATTCAATATTTCTTTCTTTGTCAAGTAGCATCAATCCATCAAGGAGTATTTTCAGTAGAAACGTAACTATTAAAGTCACAAGGAGTACATCCAAAATAAATGCTGTTGTATAAAAACGAGGCGAGAGCTATCGCAATTGAGACTATCTTGAGTTTGGGTGTATTATTATGGTGACACTCAGAGACCGATGTAGCTTTCGTTGTAATTTTGTCGTTCTATTTCATACTCGCGTGCTTAACGCCTTCTGGAGGACAAAAGATGTTTTCAAACTGAAGGTCATTCTAATTGCTACGGCAGGGTAGGCGAATGTTGTGTTGGAAATCTCTCGAATAAATCTCATTAATGTTTTATCATTTCAATGCTATTTTAGACGACTGGATTAGAAACTTTTTGAAATGGGTCCAATTTCATTTCTTTCTGTCGGTTTTGCTACAAGAGTAACTTTAATTTCAGAAAACATCTGAGGTGATAGAATTTTTTTAAAAAATTTGCTATTTTACATAAGAAAATCGCGGGCATTTTAACACCTGCAATTTTGAGTAAACGAACTCAGTCCCTAGCCTCATGAATGAATTAGTTTCACTAGGATATCACAAAACTGTTTAAGGATAAAATCCACGATATTCGATATATTTTTCAAAGCTTTGAAGAATTTATTTATATTTTAATTTTATGGTGGTCAATCTTGTGACATTTATCCATCGTTGTTCGATGAAATCCAGTTAACTCATCAATTGTTGCAAAAAGAAGAGTTCCGGAGATGGTTATTTTACCAATGATAAATCCTTTATCGCCTTGTACTGAAGTGGACACAATTAAAGATGCTCATTAGGAGTATTTAGAGATAACGGAAGGGGTGGAGTGTTTTCTGAAATTTTCAAACTAACAAAATGGTTCTAGTCATTAAGGGGTTGGCGTGATTGCAAGATACCGTATTTCTTCACCTATAAGCCGAGCGATTTTTTCAGTATTTGACACAAAAGTTTGGGAGATATTTTTACAAGAGAAGGGGTTTGGCTTATAGCCGAAGGTTTGGGATTAAAAAACAAATACAAATTTAATGTTAATGCGAAATGACCGTAGATTCCGTGACTGCAGCGCTCTTTACGTGACATGCTTTAAAATTGTCATGAAAACAACGTATTTCTGAACACCAATCAGATTCTTTGCTTCCTGCGCATTGAAGACGATCTCACTCAACTCGGCAAAAACCCTTCTCATTTCACATTACAAATGAAATACTAGGTCTCTCTGCTGTGAAAACCACTCCATCGTTTGCTCTTCTAGTTCGGGACACCTGGGAGTGAAACGGCCCATTTTTGCACGTTTTGCCGAAAGAATAGTCGCCTAGTCTCTTCTCTAGCGTCGCACTCTGGACTCGCTAAGTGCATAATCTCGAGCGATTTCCAAGCTGTTTTCTACTAATTAAATTGATTAATTAATTAAATTAAAACGACCTTCGCCTCTCAAGAAGCCGTTAAACAAGCCAATAACAGAATTAATCATAAAAGGTACAATTTCCTCGATTGTGATTGGTTTTAAAAAAATCATATTTTCACTGATTCACGTGTCAATTTGCTATCGGACAGTTTGTCATCGGACAGGGTTATTGATTAATATCAACTGAGTTGATAACGTAAATTGGCCATCGTAAAGGGTTTGAAAGCTGACGTTTCGTGCGGTAGCTCTTCGTTAGAGCACTGTTAGTAGACAGTTCAATAAGCCTATCACATTCAAAGTTATAGTTTAAATCAACCAATTAATCAAACAGTTGAACACTTCACGCCTCCTATGTCAGTCTTTTTATGCAAATTTTCCCTTTCTTTCACAACTTGACTACTCTTTCGTATGATTACAGACCTAATTGGACTCCACTCAGTTCTATCACATTTATCACATTTACCAAAATGATTACTACAGATTACTAACCTACGGTTGCATCGAGGTTCAAATATCATCATTTTATGACAGTTCAGTTCTATCCCGATAGTTTTAGCCTGGTTTGTTTGTCTGGTTATCTTTTGGACGAAGTTAAGTTGATTCTAAATGGTTGCGAATTTTGTGTGTGATCCCGCGAAAATTTTATCAAAAAATGCCAATTTTTTAATCGGTAAGTTGCGATCTTATTTTAAGACATGTTAGATTATCATGGCAGAGCTCCAGCCAATCACCATACTGCAATCGAGTTTACCTTTGAAGCACCGATAGTAAAAAAATTCTTACTCCGCAGTTAGAGGAATATTTTATGGCTTTTGTTTTTCTTATTTTGGAAATAGAGCTTGAGTAGCGAAATTGAACAGACGCTTTATGATTATTCACGACTGAGAAAGCCTTTAAGAACCTCTCACAATGGACTGAACTCAAGCGCCATCTATGTTAAAATTATTTTTACACTTACAAGATGTAAAATAGTCTTTATTGCCTGATTACAGGTTAGCGGAGGATAAATTTGATTTGCTTATTGTGTTTTTCAATCAAGAGAGATATGACAGTTCGCACAGATGCATTGTAATACGACAGCAGTGTAAGCGACCGTGGTATCACAACTCTTTGTTTGTTAACCAATGTTGTCTGCTGTGGACTAATTCCAAAAAAAAATCCTTTGTTTTCCGAACCAAAACAACGGTTTGAAGTGGTCAATGTAGGAATGATAAAGCTGAAAGATTTCCTTACATAATTAATTTACTTTTTTTTTTTGGATAAATTAGAAGCCTACTGGAGAGTTCTCCTTAGTAAGTGAAGGTAGAAGATTACAAAAAGCAGCACAAACTGTAAATAGTTTATCAGCAAGAGGCACAAGCGGTATCGGCAGACTATTTTACGGGTCCATTTTCGAAGTTGACTTTCTTTCCCTCATTGCAATCCCAGTATTTTAGTTTCTCGGCGAAAGGTTTCCAAATATTAAATTTCACCATTAGACGGCCAAAGTTGGAAATCCCGCGAAGAGTTTCGCTAGCTCTTTGTGTCACAAACCAATAAATATGTAGATCACGGACAGAACATGCCGGGTACAACTGTTGCTTAATTCTGACGTCGCGCAGTTTAAACAGGCTATCCTTAAATGAGTTTTAAATACTTTTCAAATAATGTAATGATTTCCGTCAGGTGGTGGTGACTGTAAAGTCCCAAAAATCAGCAAAAGGCGAGTACATTCATGAGTTCGCCTGCTTTTCCAGTTCATTGAGACACATACGAGCAAAGTCTCGAACGTCAATTGATCGCTATAGCGCTAACGGTTTCGAAGGACGCAACCACTCGAACAGGCCTCAACGTTTCCTCAAAGGACATCGTGCGCGAACTTGTTTCGGTAAATACGTCCAGAAATACCGTCAATACTTATTTTAGCGATAAATTCGGCCTGCAGCTCTTGCTTGACCAAAACCACGTGTTTGAAACCTGTCAACGCTTTTGTAGGGGGAATCGTAAGAAATTCCAATTCTAATTCATGAGCTATTTCAAAGTACAAGTCCGGCACAAAATCAGAATGCCTTGTGGGATTAGCAGATCCCCACACCAAACCAGCAGTTGAAATGGTCATTTAACAGTTGTGTACTCAGTTGCCAAGCCTTTGATTTGGAGTGAGGCTGAAGTTGACCATGTAGTGGTAGAGACCAGTATCTACTTAGCATGATAACAAAGTAGTAAACATTTGAAAAACAGAAAGGCTTGTATCAAAACCAGGTCACCCTTGGCCTCACCCTGTCAGTCAAAGGCTTAGCAACCAGGCACATAACCGCTTTAATACCTCTTTTTACTTTCGCCATGAATCTCTCCCAATGTGACTCGTGCACGAAGAATTTCACTCGACTGAAAATACACGAGGAGCACATTTACGACAAGCATTTCGACCGTACAGATGTTGATGACATTTCCTTATTTTATTCCGACATTTCTTTACCGCTGGTCTTTGATATATTCAAGGCTAAGCTTCAGGAAGGCATTCTGAAAGGAAAAGTTCAAGATCGATCAGGAAAATCAAAAAGGTTGATTTATTACTGCCCCCTTCATTTTGCCGTGGGAACCTATTCAGTTCGACGTCGACGACGGGGAATCAAACATTATGAAACCTGTTGTGTGAGGGTTGTATGCGCCACCTCAAAATGCAGTAATCGTTTTTGTCAGACTGGTCTTGTGCCCAGAGTGGTAATAGCAATTTTTCCGGATGGAGGCCACAACCAACGATCTCTCATTGAGGATGAAGCGTATGGAGCTTAAATCCAACGTTTTGGCAAAATAAAATAAAAAACGATCTATCATAGCCATGAAGTGGAAAAGCCAGTCAGAGTGATGTAGCCTAATCAATACAAATGCATTAGATACTAGCTGAGTCAAATTGAGGCTGAATTAAAAAACAAACAGATCTGTACCTTGCTCATGCAGCTGAGATGTTTACATTAAGATGTAACGATATGATTCAAGTGCTGCGGATGTTCCCAACTCCAGATCTAGTTGAACTCGACGAAGAAGTTCTCCAGCTAAACTGATTGAAGTCCCACGTAATCTAACTAAACTTAGTCAGACAAAACTTTTCCAATCTGTTTTTTCAATACAATACGATGAATCAGAGAGAATTAACCCTTTGCTTTTTCTATCGACATAAAACAAGTTTGATATCAAGACGAATGGATGTAATTTTTGATTACAAGAGATAATCCGTAGAGCAATAGAATTTAATCATTAAAATGACGATAGAAGTTGTTCGTAAATTCGACGTGTGTATCTTTGACATCATGTTAAATCACAGCTATTTTCCTGGCATGAAAACAAGTAGCGTGTAAAGAACTATGCTCAATGATTTGGCCCTACTCTTTTATGGTAAATAACAGAGATGTGATATGCATTCCTAGAGAACAGTTTTGATTTATCTCATTCCTTCACAACATTTTAGGGTCTTTTCATACAGATACATCTTTTAGAGATTGAAATAGGCCGACAGGTGTTGTTAATGTCAATTAATGATATCCTAATAGACGAAAATAATAAGATAGAGAGAGAGAGTTCAAACATGCCATGTCCTTCTTGCCGCCCTTCACCACTCAGAGTGGTAGAGTAAAATCGACCATACATGCATTGGTCTTCTTCATCTGACTCTGACGTTCATTTTTTACTCGGCAATGGAGAAACTCTCAATGAAACAAATGTAGGAATCATCCACTTCATAACAGTTTAGTAGAAAAACGAAGATCATTTAAATCTGAGCAGTTTTTGAGTGCGTTTTGCTCACACTGTTTCTTATTATATTTGATCCCCAAGGGCTGAAAATTGAATTAAATTCCATCATAATACTGTAATGGCTCCGTTAGAAGCAATGTGATAGTGTAAAAGTTTAAAACTCAAAGATTTATTTCAGGTCACCGTAACAAATAAATAAAAGCCATCGTTATTGGTTTGAGAATTATCTGCTACATTTCATTATTTTTAATCATCCACTTCATAACAGTTTAGTAGAAAAATGCTACGAAGATCATTTAAATCTGAGCAGTTTTTGAGTGTGTTTTGTTCACACTGTTTCCTACTATATTTCATCCCCAAGGGCTGTAAAATTGAATTAAATTCCATCATAATACTGTAATGGCTCCGTTAGAAGCAATGTGACAGTGTAAAAGTCTAAAACTCAAAAATTTCTTTCAGGTCACCGTAATAAATAAATAAAAGCCATCGTTATTGGTTTGAGAATTATCTGCTACATTTCGTTATTTTTAAAATTGTGTATAATATATAGGTATCATCATATCTATACATGTACGAGTGATTTAATGGCTTGCAAGAGACCACTTGGAGTGTTGTCTTTGTAGGAAATGGTTGAATACTATATTTTTGATGTAGTTTGATTGTTTGTATGTGATTTTTTTGCAGCAACCTGCGCAAGAATCGAGCAGGAAGATATTGGAAAGAGGACTTAAATGGTATGGTAAATGAACGTCTTGTAGTCCACCACAAATTAATCAATAAAAAAAAAATCATTATTTTTTTATGTGCGTTGGACATTTTAATTTCATCAGTAGGAATTATCTTCACTTATACTAGGAACAGTAATCCCAAAAACCGTTCAGATACCTTCAGTTAAAAAAATTCAGCATATTGTAACAGAACTCTCTTTATCCAAGATGGTGGTTGTTTGTTGTGTACTGTTGCGTTCTGTGTGTAGTTCCCTCCACACAATTCTCACAAACCTTCCTCTTCATAAATCATACACCGCACACATTTTACCGAGAAAGATACAACTTAGAATTGGAAAAAAAAGATACAATCCAGAAGAAGAGCGCGTTAGACTGCTCTCATCTTTCGAGTGAGCGAAGAATGATTGAATTGGAAATCATAGTGAACCGTATCGCCATCTTCGTCTTTATCTTCAGCCTTCAAAGACTGCCTAGTGTTGTTATGCGATTTTTAAAGCTGACCTCTTCATTAAGGGTAGCTATAGAGGATTTCCAATATTCATACTTGCCTTCGTCCGCAATGGCGGCAATTTAACCATGGACAACACAAATGAACGAAAGGACAAAACTCTAAACGCAGCCTCTGCCGGCAAATTATAACCGAAGAAAGTGAAGGCAAAAACACGGTGTAGATTTTGACATAAGAAAAAATCGTGTTTTAAAAAGAATCACCCGCTGATGCCAAAGATAGAGAACAATAGAAATCCACAACCAGTTCCAACGACGACTTTGAAATGTGAAACAGTTCCTCAACTGTTTTAAACTTTTAGACGTGTCACAGCGCACAGCGACGCTGTTCCTTTAATTTAAAACCACTTTCTTACTTTGGTCGATTAAAATGCGACTCTTGAAACTATATCTGTTGTTAACACCAAATAAGAAAGCTTTCTGTATGTAACCAAAAATTAAGTGTTAACTCAGTTGCCTTAGCAAGAATCTTGGCATCATTCTCGAAAAGTATTCAAGGAACCAAGAAATTTATGCACGGCTTATAATTTCCTTTCCATATGCAGTATTAAGGAAATGTTTTCGTAACTCTATAAGAACTGGATTTCCAATCCAAAAGTTTTTCTCCAGAGCAAATATGCGGTTCAATAAGCAATTGATAGAATCCAAGAGTGTTCTTGAAGATCAAAAAAAATGAATCGACGAGAAAAGCAACAAATGAATCCAGTTGAAGCTTTACAGCTTTAACTACTATCGTTTTAAAATAGAGGATTTGATTGATTGATTGAGTTGAAAAACTAAACTCCAATGGTTTGATCGACGGACTTGTCGTCGAAGTGACAGTCTTCCCGATAGGAATTAATGAGCACGTGCTCTGCTAATACTGAAGGACTTTTTTTGTTTCCAAATTTTCATCCAGATTATTTTGGAGCGGATGTAATTTTCCATACATGTAAGTTAACAGAAGGTTAAAGCTAAAATCCAAATGAAAAGCTTACGCAAGAAGATCTAAGTGAAGGGGTTTCTTGACGCGAAATTAGAAATAGCCTATGATGTTATATCTTATTCTAAAAACAAGTAATTCTTGCGAAAACTGCTGTTAGACGATAATGTACATCAGAAACGTCGATAAAAATTTTTGGAAACGGCTGAAAATCAGGTTGAATATGATTATCTCAGCGATAGTTTTCCGGTTTTCTGTCGAATAATTTTATGGTCCAAAATAGGCCAGATCGCGTTTGTTATTAATTTTCTTCTTGGATTTTATCCAAAGAGCCTACTCCTTGAAAATGGATCAGGCGCACCCTATGACAAATAAATAAACTAAATTAATTTGAAAATCCTAAAAGGAAGCAAAAGGATTGCCTGAAATTCCAATGCTTAATGCCATAGAAAGGAAATTCTTGGATAAACAAGTAAACCAAAGTCAGGGTTGACATTATGATCACAGCGAGAGTTTTCGGCATTCTTTTTGGTTAACATTCTAAAAACCAAGATATGACCATACTCTTTTCAGGTTACCTCGTGATTAGTCCCAATTGTGAACGATTATTTCTTCAATTTTCTTTGGAATGTCCGTCCCTTACAATGAAAGCTCGGCTCGACGGTTAAAAAAGACGCAATGAACAGTCGACCTAGTCGAGATGCGAATAAATTTGCAATTACTGCTTTCGCACTTACCACAAAGTATCAACGTGTTCCTCAAGCAAAACAGTGGGACTGCAAGGCGTTGAACCAACTCAGTTGTTATCATATCTTCTTGAATAAAGAATAAGCGAATGGCCCAGATTTTTGGTTTGTAATATCTTCACACCCTATAGCTCCAGCTAATCAGCTAAAGGTGTAGATCGCATTGCGTGTAGATATTTCCATTAATGTGGGAGAAATAGACGTCATCGCTCAGCCAAACTGCTACAACGTGTCTGCTTAAGCAAAATGTCCGTATATGGCTGCGTTAAAGCTCAAAATGGAGAGTGGTTGAATAAACATATTATCACATATTTTTTGTAAAGCTGATCCGTTTCATTCTTTATTTAGCCTCTTTTTTAATGACACTTTTACCAAATTTTCCCCTGAGCTACATATCACTTGCATGCAATGTGTTATTTTTCCAGTTCGTTCTCATGCATTAACTTCCCGTTACAATGTAAGACCATATAGGACACAGAGAGCCAACAGAAACGAAAAGTAGGTGTGAAAATCTCCTATTGAAGCGTCCAGAAGAGGAGAATGCGCCATTACCTACAAAACTTTTTGGGTTAGCCAGTGTGGAATCAATGGTGATTTGATAATTTTCGTTCTTTCTTCTCTATCTGGCTCTTGCAAGAAGATTTGGAAGTTGGTTATGACATGAAGAGGCATTTCGAAATTCCCTATTCCTTCGTTAGAGCAGTATGAGGGCAGGCCTTCGCAAATACTGACCGGGCAACATTTCGTTTACAAATCTCTTTGCAAATGTTTTTGTGGTGTATGCATCCAAACTTTCACGTTACGCCAGATATTAAAATTGAAGCCTAGAACAAGCGATATTTAATAATTTAGCATAGAAAGGAAACACGTTATGAAACAGGCATCATTCAGTGGCAAAAAAAAGGGGGATTGGTAGTAGGCGAAATGTTGTGATACGCGCCATCTTATATTGTCGTATTTCATCTTTTGAAAACCCAAAAGGCTTAATTCTTTAAATTTAAAAAAGAAAAAGGCCCAACTAACAGCATTGCTAGAGTTTTGAGCTCCGCAAAAAAAAAAAAAAAGTATTGGTTTTTTTGCGCTCTCCTCGTTCCGGTAGCTCATAATCATGAGATGCGAATTTATAAACCAGATTCGCGCTCACCATCAAATGCAAAAGTTCTCGTAGAGGGAGAACACAAGAAACCACGAAAGATGGAATCAGATCATAACTTTTCATGATTTCTCGACTGCATTTGAACCGAATATGCCGATATAAGGTAATTTCTTCCTTCAAAGCCGATACCTGTTGGTAATCAGCTAGAGCTGGTCGTCTGGTAAGGTAGGCTCCTGAGGTCAGGAATAAGTCTCTGGAACATAACTGATGTACTGTGTTGTAATTACCTTTAGACCATTGAGTTTCAACTACCTCAGGGGAGGGGCTTAATTGTATATGTATACCTTTTAATCTGATTTATTAATTTTCCTATTCATCTTCTTTTAAATAGCAATGGTACTACACTTTCGAAGTTGGATCTTTGCATTTTACAACCGATTACGTTGCTGATTAGCTAGCCAAGTCGCTGGAGGTTTGATAATTCCCTCGATTTTGTTTTTGTTGTCTTTGTCTATGCCTGCGCTGTCGTTGTTTGGTTTTGTTTAGGTTTATTTTTCGCTTTTGTTTTGTTTTGCTATTCGATGGGCTGGGACTTTAATTGAAAACAACAACAACAATAATTAAAAAAAACATTTCGTATATATTGCCTGGTCCTAGATTTTTACTTTACTGCGTTTGCAAAGCGACGCCTCGTTTCTGTAAAGATATATATGTACTGTAGGGTATTACAACATTTAAGGAAAACTTGATGTTAACATGAACAAGAAGGAAATGTTTTGACATAGATAGTGCTTGTCAAAGATTAGGGGACATGGCGTAATACTACCATGCTCACTCGTTACGCATATGCAAATCGTGCTATACTCGTATAAATACGCTTCCAGCCGTCTCAAATGCACCTCTCCGGTTCATTGACATACCTTCGCATTGTGTGACGTTGTGTTGTCGTGAAACGGAAGGGAATGTCTTGTAATATCATGTGCTGTTACAAAAGATGTTAACAAGCACCTGAGAGTTCAAAGACTGAAATCAAACCCAAGCAATGTTGTGTTTGTATTTCCTGCCGAGCGCCATTTTGGTTCATATGGCGCATGCTTGTTGCCACTATTGTCATCCTGCGATTTATCTTTTGTTCCGACAGGTCATAAAGGGATCGTAAGGATATAGGGTTACTGAATGTTTAGTTTGCAGCGTTTGTGTCCTGTTTTCTTTGGCGAAATCAATTAAGAATGGGCAGCTGTGTTCGTTTCTGTTGCCATAACATTTTATTCCTTCGCTCTATTTGCGGCGAAGGTTCCCCCCGATCATTCCTCTAGGGTTTCGCTGCTGTAAAGAAATTACCTTAGCAAACAAAAAGCTAACTTTTGACGAAAGAATCAGCTGTATCACGGGGCACAACGATTTTTCACCACGAAGTCATCTGATTCAAGTTAATCTTAAACAGTGATTTTAATAGAGAAATACTTCTTAAGTTTAAGTGCAGCATTTCCGTATAACTCATTCCGCTCAAAGGAAATAACTGACATCAATATTATAGATGAATATTTCGTACGCATCGACTTTCACACTGCGCTTGGCTTCGTTACCATCTAATCAAAAAATATTTGTGTTTCTTTATCTCGCTGCAGATCTGTCATCACAATGACATTGCTACTGTTACTACCTTTAGTTTCTCGAGGACAGGGGGGAATTGATGGCTCGTGCCAAGCCCTTCGAGCTTGTGTTTGTGGTAGTATTCGCCTGAGGTTTCGCACTGTTCATACAACAGGATATCGGTCAGCTCAGGAAAGGGCTTGAACTTTCTCACAAATGCTGTATTTCTGTTATTGAAATACGATGGAAACTACAATTGGTAGGATTTTCATACGATGAGAAAAGCGCAAATGTAGTCATGTGGAAAGACAAGGAGTATGAGTACATCTCACGCACGTGAAATAAACAACAATGAGGAGCTCACCATTCTTCGCTTGCGAAATGTCAGCCGAAAAGAATTTTGAAAAATCGTGTTCGGTGTGGGAACAGACTCCTTAATCAGCATTCTTTTCAGCTAAACTTATTGGTTATCTACCCCTGATTTGACTTGTGATATGTGTTCGTAAGAAGTGTCTTCGAAGCCGCTACGGGGCATAATTAGGCCGACGACATTGAAGAGTAAAATGTCCTCGATGTCGACGATCGAAACGCGTCCTTTTTGGCCATACAGCTACATCCTTTGGACAGTAGTGCATAGAAATACCGGTATATGTGTATTATTGTTGTAGCTAAAATCAGTTGGCGCTCCGGCCAAGCAATACGTTCGTCCGTTCTTAGAATTTTTTCCTTTCTCCGCCATAGTTGCCGACATGTCGTCACAGTTTTCTACGCCCACAGCTATATAACATGATCGTTTTGGCCGCGCGCTTAATAGGAACACTTTTTGGCCGTCAAATCCTTTCTCTGCCATAGTTGCCGACGTGTCGTCACAGTTTCCTACGTCACAGCTATATAACATGATCGTTTTGGCCGCGCGCTTAATAGGAACACTTTTTCGCCGTCAAATCGTACCTTCAATGTACGAAAAAATGGTCAAGGAGAACTCACTGGGCGCTTAGGTGGATTATTTCTAATTTTAAAAACAGCTACCAACCAGAAAATGCTAAAACAATAGGCACCTTAATATTGCCTCAAATTCAAGGAACATACGTAGTTGATTTCCGGAAACATCACAAGCCCATTCTACAACGCACGATTTTTTAATTCTAATAATATTTTTCTAGAAACCCTCAAACATTGTTGTACAAAAAAGTGCTTTCTTAAAAATGGGCGTCAGACTATGGAAGGACGTTCCATGCCCGCTGAGAGAGCTACCAAAAATATCACTCAAATTTAAATTCAAAAAGAACATATACTGCGTAGTATTTTCGAGAGAGGAAATTCCCTTTTCGACAAACACGAGATCATTTCAAAACTACGATTTTCAAGTAATTGATAACGTCTATATAATATCGCGTTTTCTGCCTTGCATCATTTCCAATTACTTGAAATAATCCTCTACGCATCTCTCATAAATGAATGCAGAGGCATTGCAGTTGAACTATTTACCTTCTAGTTTAGGATTTACCAAGTGTATTTTCATTCTTGATTTTCTATGCGAGTGGTCTTCGTTAACATTACGAGTGAGAATACTTCTAGATAACATATTTTGGTGGTTCGTGACTAGCATTAAAACACATCAACTGTATTTCAAATGATTATGATAAAGAAATGTAGAACATACTTCTAAAAGCCCTTATGAACATGAACTTAGGATTTATTTTTTGAATCTTGCTTTTACGTGAAGTGCATTTGCTTCAAAGTCAGTCTGTACCACAGTAGCGCATAGCACAAAGTGACGGCTGACGAAGTTTGTAGATGTAGTAAGATCCACAGTTTCTCACGCCAATTTTTGTTGTGCCCCTGCAATGGTTCCTATAATCACTAAAGCATACCTTCCTGTCAACTTCACCATCTTCCACTGAAGGATGAGAACCTTTCAACCAACCGGAGTATACTGTACCACATCTGTATGATGGCACAAGACTTGTTGGCATTTTTGTTCCTGCAGCACCCACAAAACGATACCATCCCACATGGAGTTTGTCGTCACACAACTTAGCTCGGTTTTTGTAACTGCTCTTTCTATTGGCATCTCTTAGGTTCTTGTAATTATTGCAGTCACGGTGTGGGGCTACGAAGTCAAAGAAATGTAAAAGGAAATTTGAATTATTAACGCTAAAATTGTAACTTAATCGCAAGAGTCTCATAGGGTTAAGGGTTTTAAGAGCTTCATAAGTTCCTCTGACATTATTAAAACTAAGTGCAAGGCTTCTGAATCATTTGAAAAATAAGAGAGAAAAAAAATCGATTAAGAAAAGTCTTCTCATTGGCACGGCAACAAAATGCTAAGAACCATGTCTTATATAAACCTCCAGGCTTCATGTCA